CATGAGGCCATTTTGTGAGGCCACAGCCAAATTGCAGCCAGGATTATAAACCCTTCCCTCCATCAGCCCTCCCCGTCCCCCTACTTTGAAAAGTAGGTAAACAAAGGCAGGGACAAGAGGCTCTTCTAATGCCCTCTGCTCGCTTCTTCTAACAAGACGCAAGTAAGAGGACAGAGGTAGAGCCACGCCTGGCACAGCAGCGAAACTGCACGTGAGAGCTTGCGATGTTTGTAGCATGAAAGCCGGGTAATTAATATCAGCAGAGTAAGTCCCCGGAAAAGTGAAAGGGTCATTTCCACAAACAATGAATCATCACGCTTGTGAGAGAGGCATCCTCTGTCCCCCACCAGGAGTCGTTTTTTTATGCTCAACAAAGTGATGTGAAATGAACTATTTTCATAAACAGATGGTCTTTTAGGATAATGGCTTGTACTTTTTAATTTCCTTTCTGGCAGTACTTCATGCCAAGTGTCAGGGATGTCAATAGTCTTCATTAGAAGTGGCCTGATATTGCTGGGATCTTTTGTACCGAAAAGACCCATTTCCCCCCCAATAGTATATATGTGGAAAGCAGAGAAGTTTAAGAAGCTACAGGAAGATCAACATTTAATTTATTTAAACCGAGGGGAAATGAATCCTCATCCAATCCCAAGATTAAAAATTTCAGGTCTAAAGCATTCCTTGTATCTTTTCGATTCCATGGCTTCACAGTCCTTCGGAAGTCAGTAATCTCTAAATGCTCTCACAGCAAACATCTTTTGTTCCTCAACCGTATTCTTAACAAAGGGTAAGTGACGCCCCATTTATAACACTTTCAATTCATAGGGTCCACATGTGGTCGTGTCCTAGCATAGCCAGACGAAGTGTACATTTAAAAAAACAAAACAAAACAAAAAAACCTAAACCTCATAAATCTCCAGAAATTCCTCACATCTATTATTTTTACCTTCTGCTGCTGATGAGCCTGTTGGGCTCTGTACAGAGGAAATTACAAACGCTCCAGAAGATTTGGCAAGAAGATGCTAGAAGAAAACAATGGGCAAAAAAAAAAAAAAAAAAATATCTTAACTGAAGCATCCTATCCAGCTTTGGCTACCATTTACATATTTGAAATTACAGCTAATAAAATGGAAATTCCATTGAAATGGAATAAATTGTTTTCTGAAATCCCTATCTGATTACTGCTGGTGATGTCTGAAATTAAACATGTGAAGCTACACTCAATATACTTTTTGGAATCCAACTGAAGGCGAACGTGCTATTGAAAAATCGGTCTGTTTATACAATTTTCCAGTTAGGAACCGAGGTACTTGAATCCCCCTAATACTTTTACTCCTGGCCTTGTGATCACTTTTCCTATTAATATATGTTACCAAACAAATCTCTCTCTGCTTAATAGATGTTTGGAGGCTGTTGGAACAGCTGCTAACTAGTAAGGAAATGCCAGTAGAAGTATTTTATAGTCACACATTTAAATACCACTGGAAGTCAGCTTAAAGCTGATGCCAAGGGAAATGCTTATGTTTAAGGCATATCCCGCATAGCGATAAAAAATTAATAGGTCAAAAAAATCTTTCGCCCAAGTTATGTACACACAATGCCAACACAACCAAGGGAACAGCAAAAGCCTAACCACCAGGCTTAGGAGTATTTTTTTTTTTATTTCTGTTGACTCATTCTAAATGTCCATTTTTCCACCACGGTGACCAGGTATGCCGTCATTTTGAAGACACCATCTTATAACCCACATAGGAAAATGGTTTTAAAGAAAACATAACTCCTGTGATGTTCAAACAGGATTTAATGTACATGCTTAATGTTTGTCAAATACATAATCGAGCCGAAACCAGTTTGGCTCAGTGGATAGAGCGTCAGCCTGCAGACTGAAAGATCCCGGGTTCGATTCCAGTCAAGGGCATGTACCTTGGTTGCGGGCACATCCCCAGTGGGGGGTGTGCAAGAGGCAGCTGATCGATGATTCTCTCCCCTCGATGTTTCTAACTCTCTATCCCTCTCCTTTCCTGTCTGTAAAAAAATCAATAAAATATATTAAAAAATAAATAAATAAATAAATAAATACATAATTGATATTTGCTCTTATATTTCATTCATCGGAAAGATAAGAATAGGTAACAAATTATGTGCAGACTCATTCCAAAGGATTCAATCTTGTAATCAAGTTGGGAGGTGCAAGCTACCACCGCCAAAGAACAAACAAAACAAAACGAAAACCACTGCGCGAACGTCAGCTGCTTCCTCCTCCATATAAAAAGTGAAAATCGCAACGCAGAAGATCTGAGCAAAAAGAAAGTGATCGGTTAACCTCAGTCAGCACACACACACACTTCTCCACGACTGGCCCACGCACGGGGCTGACATGCTAACCACTTACCACCTTCTGCCCAACTTCCTGAGCTCTTGACTTAAACCATCCGGAAACAGGGAACCAAGGACCCATCCCACTACAGAAACCCATTGTGTTATTGTAAAACCAAGTCCAGTACTTAAGGAACTTAATACGAACGTCTCCCACTCCCAACCGGGAGGAGGGAAAGCAGGACAGATCCAGGCTTCGCACAGAACCCACAGCTCATACGGCCAGCAGGCTGCCCGGTTGGGCATTTCCTCCCAAGAACCGTCTACCTCGAACTATAGCGACAAAAAGTATATTTTAAACTCATCATATGTATTCTTATCTCTTTGAAAATCACTGCAGGGCCTTTACAAGGGTT